GACGTCGTCGACGCGCGGACGCAGACGACGACGTGAATGCGAACGTAGGCACGTGAATGAGCACGTGTGTTTAAATACCCTCCATTCACCTCGTCCCTTCCCCCCAAATCCCTTTCCCCTTGTGTCGCTGGGGACCTGTGTCCCCCCTGTCGGGATTCGATGGGCCCCACTGACACGGGTGCCTTCGGAGCGACCCACGTGACCCACCCGTCAACCCGTAATCGCTCCCGTACATCCACCAGGTGCGGTGACGTGTACAGCGCCGTACGGTATCCGCATGTGCGCAGTACGGATTCCGCCATGGCACATGTGGAGCCCTTCAGTGTCGGGGTGGGGTTTGGGTTTGGGGTTTGGAGCGGGGGTAAAGAGGGGAGGCAGTCGTTGGGTAAGGGCACGGGAGGGTAGGGGTTAAATGGGGTGAGGGGATGTGAGACGTGGGTTCTTAGCCCTGCTGTCCTCAAACCGTGTCCCCTTCTTCCCCCTCCAGGCCTAGCTAGCCCGAGCGCCATCAATCCCCTCCTGCCCCCCCAGTCGTCAGGTCCCCTCCCCCCCCGTCGCGTCTCCCCTCCCCCTCTCTCATCCTCCCACCTTGCCCTTGGTACCCGCCACGTGGAGGAAGTTGAGGGCCGCCAGCCGCTGCGGTGTCAGACCAGCCCGCTGGTATCGTGGCAGGGGGAACAAGCGGGGAGGGGAGGGGAGGGGGAAGGGGAGGGGTTTTTGGGAGACCCGGGGGAGGGGGAAAGGGGGGAGGCAAGGGGCGGGAAGGTGACAGCACAGACGTGCATACAGACGCAGACAGGGGGGAAGGGGGCCCCAAGAGAGGGAAGGCGCGGGAAAGAAGGCGCGATTCCAACTCCCCCTCGCCCCGCCCCTTCCCTTGCTCCCCGCGTGACGTCAAGGGTTTCAGCTGTGGGTGCATTGCTGCCTTGTACGGGTCTGGGGCCTTACCACCGTACTGCAATGCTCCCCTTTCTTCTCCTCCCCCCAGCTCCTGCTAAGGCGGGGACATCTGGGGGCCTCCCGGGGGTTTGGTGTGTTTCGTGTGCACCGCCCTTCTACGTGTTTAACCCCAGCAGATCCCCCAACTGACCCACGGACCCGTCGGAGGACCCGTCGGAGCACCCGTCGAAGCACCCACACTAAAGCCATGTGGAGCAGCCGACCTGCATGAAGATGGGCATCAGCTCGAACTCATTGCGTCGTACACCGGATACGCTGGGTCGGCTCTTGGAGGCGGCCATCTCGCCAAGCCGAGCCTCAACTTCCGACCATTCGGCGTCGCTGATGTCGTCGTTATCGTTGGCGCGGGATGTGGTGAAAACACTTGCGGCGCAGGAGAAGCCGCGTTGAACATGGAGGGCGCGAGCAGTAGGCCTCGTTTGAAGACTAAGGCTGATTGAATGGTTTGAAGTGGATGGTGGATCCAAGGTTCGGCCGTACGGCAGCTCCGATGTCACCAGCGAAGACAATACGACCACTGGAGAGGGTAAACGGACTGGGGAAACGGCCAAGTGGCTAAGGTTGCGTGCAAACCGTGTAGGATGTTGGCCGAAGGGAGGCGGAAGCTGGGACATTATCAGTCGTTGCCACATGACGGGTCGACGGTTGCATAGACTTGTCATCCGCTACTATACGTACGCGATGAGCCTAGGTTCGGCATTTGATTATTATTATTTCATTTTAATGCATTAGTCTCATTCTTCTCAACGCATCGTCGCTGAAATGCTGGAAACGCACTGCCGCCGTGCGACCTGTCAAGGTTGCTAATGGTAATTCGGTGCCAAAAATATAACCTGCACGTATTATCCAAAGGTGCATGGGTGGGTAAACCTGCAACCTAACTTCACAAGTAGAGATGCGCGGTAGTACGGAAATGACTGAAATTGTCTAGATACCGGCAACTACGCACGCTGCTTATGCCATATAAGCGTACATTGGTTTTGATATCTTTAACCTGTAAAATGCTACTCACTGCGTCACAAAGTTAAGCTTGTCTCACCGTGGCCTCTGGCCTGAACCCAAAGCATTCTTCCAGGTACACATCAAGTCATTCGCATATATGTTTCACACTCCTTCAAGTGAATAGCGAGGTAATAGTGCATTTCCTGATCCTTGGACTGCTTGCACGACCGTTGGTCAACATGCAACCACCCTAACTGCGACGGCCCCACGGGTACCGAAAACTGGTTTTCGTGAAGCAATTCCTTGCAATCGCATAGTGGCCGAAGTGCCGCACTTTGATGTCCTTATTGACAGACCCTACAAGGAAATAAAGCAAGGATAGTCACTTCCAACCTCGGCGCGTAAAAAGTAGTGTAGCACACGTCCAATCCTAATTTGCGCTGGTTGCAACTTATATGTTTATAGCCTCCTGTGAGTGGCTGCTGTGTATGGGAAATGTCGTTAAAGCTTCTACCCGAGGACCTGAGCGATGTTCCTGCGCACCTTGCCGGTGAGGCTGTCGTAGCGGCAAAAGACGACAAATGAAATACGATGCAATCACTGACTGTTTTCTGCGCAGCTAAATCTCAATAACACTGACAAGGCGCAGAGCGCCGCCGCGAATAGGGGCATGTCCATACGCACAACAGCAGCACATGCGCGGCCACATAAATTCCTCAGCCGTGTTGGTGCCGGTAAACACCGGCTGAGCACAGTGGTGGTCACGGCGGCTCTTTCCTCAGTAGCGGCTTTCCTCCGGACTCTTTGACCCCCCCTTACCATTTGGACGCGTAACCCGCATTCAGGGGCATCAACTCATGCTGAAGCTCCCTCTGGGTGGAGACACCAAAGGGGCCTTATGCGAACCGCACCTGGGGCGCCCATGGCCACAAGGCATCATGCACTGCACGAGCTTCTGCATGTGCCACAACCACTGCCTGGGCCCCCCGGGCCCCACTAAGCCAAAGCCCAGGATAAGGGTTCCGTGTCCCCTGTTGACAAAGGGCCCCGGAGATTCCCGCGATGTTACCTCCTGTGCAGGTGTTTCCATGCTCCTGTATGGAGGTACCTGTTGTAGAGGTGTCTCGTCCGTCGGGGTCATGTTTCCCCCCCATGGCCCGCAACATCCGCCCCCCACCCCCACTCCTCACTCCCCTCACTTCCCTCGGCCGGCCTCTGGCCCGCTACCCCCCCCCCCCCGGCAATTTCCCCCAGACCGCTACGAGGCCCAGGCGGGTCGCTATTGGGACCTATTTTACCGCCGTAACAGCACCAAGTTCTTCAAAGACCGACACTACCTGCATAAAGGTGCGTGATGATGATTTACAGGCATTACAGGCGGCACTTTATGAAACTGAGGGGATAGCCGTACAGGGGGGGGACAGGGGGAAAAGGAACGAGAGCAGCAACCACATGACAAACCAGGCAAGGCAGCGAACGATTTCCTTTTTGGGGTAGTTGGGGAATAACAACAACAGCAGCAGCAGCAGCAGCAACAATAACAATACGGCTGCTAAGCACGCTGCAGCAGAGCAACCAGTGACCCGGAGCGTCCCGATGCAACCAAGCATCCAATTAAACCCTAGCTAGGGCTCATGAAGCAGCAGCAGCAGCGGCAGCAGAGTGTGAGAGAGAGGCGGATCCTGCTCCACTGGCGAATAACAGCAAGCACATGTTGCATCCAGAGTCGCTATTTTGGGGGGCAACAAAGTGGTCCGTTCTGAGCTCAGCCCAGGGATTGGCTTCTGTGGGACTCTGCATGCAGCATGTGCGTGTTGTTATTTGCCAGTGGAGCAGGGGGTGACCTCAGCAGCCTTGGCGACATCTGGGGGCTGCACCGCCGGTCTTTTCAAGCCCACTGTCGTGCTGTGTGGATGTTATTTGTAGCTCCGGGACTTCGATTAGTAGCTGGCCATTAATCAGTAATTGAAGAAGTTTTTGAAGCGATGTCTAGCGAAGTAATTAAGCTCTCAAACTAGTAAAGTTAGCCTAACACCAAGTTATCGAATAATGACAAAAAGCTGGGAAGTTCTTCTGAGCAAAGGCAGAGGTGAGGACTTCATCTGCAGAGCAGACGCCTCAGAAAGGGTTTGAAGGGCATTTTTCAGAAAAAAAATCACGACTGCAATCCAGGTGTCGCACAACAATCGCACGGAATTAGCTTGAGCCAACAAAAAGCCCTCACATCCTGTGCTGTGCTGTGCCGTACTTTGCCATCCCATTCCTGCCTTGAGTCTGGCAGTCTGTCCTCTCCGGCTGGTCTGCTTGGCGCTTCATGTCCATGTCTGTCTGTATGTATGTGTCTGTCTGTATGTATGTATGTGGCGTAAACGAGCTCAGAGTTCCCCGATCTGGTTGCGGGCCCAGCCACCCTTCTGGAGGTGGGATGTGGAGTCGGGAACACCGTGTTCCCCTTGCGCGAGGTGGGTGGGGGGTCCAGGGGGGGGGCGGGTTAGCTGCCTGGAGTTAGTTGTGCACACCTACCTACCTATCTAACTATCTATCTATCTAGCTCGCTACCTACCTACCTAGCTCGACGACTGATTTTGCACATTGAGGCCATACCTGCGGCCACACTTCCTCTCCCTGAGCAAGGGGGTTGTTGTTCGGGGGTTTGAATCCTCATTATTATGTGCCGTGTACGTCAATGTGGGATTAAATGGGTTAGACACAAAAGTCATCAACACAAACATCATATATTTGTGTGTAGCCATTCCGCATTGTAAATACATACATGCACAAGACTAACCGGCCGTGTGCATCCGCCCCCGCGCTGTGTTTTGGCCCTGGTCCCCCGGCTTTTCAGTCCACAGTGTAATCAACGCCATACATACATACATACATACATACATACATACATACATACATACATACATACATACATACATACATACATACATACATACATACATACGTACATACGTTCATACATACCGTTGTCCTCATTGCCAAACTCGCTGCTCTCCCCTCCACGCCTTTCCTCTCGTTCGACCCCCCCCGACCCCGCCCGGCCCTGTCCCTTCCCTCCCCACCACCCGACCAAACCCCACTCGAACCACTGCTGCAGATCAACCCCGCGCTAAAAATCTACTGCTGTGATTTCGCACCCAGCGCAATCGAGCTTGTACAGCAAAATCCGCAGTACAGTACGGCAGGCGGGGCTGTGGAGGCCTTTGTGGCGGACCTGACCAGCGACCTCCTGGCGGGGTCGCGGTCCGCGGGCGGCTGTGGAGTTCCGGAGGGCGGGTGGGGGTGGACGGGGAGGGGGAGGGGGGTCCGTACGGTTACTGCCGCACACTGTACGGCTGTCCTGTTGAAACAAACAGTTAGTCAGTTAGTCAGTGACCAGTTCAGAGGCGTGGAGGATATGGTGGGGTTCTTTATGGTGGCGGTGGTGGTGGTGGTGGTGGTGGTGGTGGTGTGAGGATGACCTCCCATGCCGATGGTTATCGTGTATGCATGCTGTGACCAACACAGCAGACCAACACAGCATGCAGGTCAATTGCTATCGCTATTGCATGCATGTATGCATGTATATCTGTACTCTTTTCCAGACGGTTCCAGACGCAGAGCTCTTCTCAAACAGGAACCCGGTTAGCCCCCGCCCACTCCGTGCGGTGCCACCCCACCGGAACCCCAAACACCACTGCACTGCACTGCAGGTGCGACCTGGCCACCATGATCTTCGTACTGTCCGCCATCCACCCGCGGAGGATGGAGGCGGTGAGGGGGGGAGGAGGGGTCCCTTGCACGACCCGGCAGGGGTAGAGCAGGGGGGGAAATGCGTGTGTATGTATGTATGTAAGTTTTAGGATTTGCCTTTCCAAGGGCAGGGAAGTTAGGGTTTTGGGGGGACAGCTTTTTGGGGTTTGGTGGTGGTATTTGGATGTTTCGCTTGAGATCGGCTCTTGGAAGATTTGGAGCCGGAAGCAACTGCGTGCCGTACATATCCATATCCACGGCCCCTTATACACAGCCACAGCCACTATGGATGGCTCTCCTCCTCTTGGGATCCATTTCCCCCCCTTCCCCCTCCCCGTCTTCAGGCGGTTCACAACGTGGCCCGGTGTCTCAAGCCCGGCACCGGTCGACTGCTGTTCAGGGACTATGCGGAGGGGGACCTGGCGCAGGTGGGGAAGGGGGGGAGAGGGGGGAAAGACGAACCACGAGCGAGTGAAGCTGATGCCAAGGAGGAAAGACTGCTGCAGCGGTTGTGAAGAAGCAGTCCTCGCGATGATGTTAGTAGTCATGACGACAGCGGAAACCTACCTACCTAGCCGCCAATACTAAAATAAGAGCGGAAGAGGAGCAGTAGAACCAAGCCGTAAAATAGCAAAGGTGGGGGTAAAGGCGACCAAAGAGTAATAAAAACTGACGTGAGAAGAGAAAGGGGTGACGTGAGCTGGAATAAAGGGGGGAACTGGGTAGGGGGAAGATGGGCAAGGGGCCCTCCCCACCTCCTTCTCGGGCGACGAGTTATCCCAATCAGCATTTCCACCAACAGCTGTATCAACGCCCTCCCCCTCCGCCTTCTTGAGGTAGCCCCCTCTCTCCCCCTCCCCCCTCCCCCTCCCCCCCTCCCCCTTCCCCCCCTGCTAACAGGAGCGTCTGGCGGGTTGTGAGCGGCCCAAGCGGTTGGAACCCAACTTCTACGTGCGTGGAGACGGCACCCGCTGCTACTACTTCTCACAGGTAGTCATGTACGGTACCCTCTTTACACATCCCCCTAACCCAACCCCCCTCCCTGTACCCCCTCCATCTTACCTCCGAACCCAACCCACGAACCCCGAAACACCTCCGTCCGTCCACCCTACCACCTTCAAGCTGAGAGCCCTAAACCCTACACCTCGGAGTGAACCCCCCCGCCCAACCCACCCTCTCTCATTACCGCTTTCGCCATCCTCCCTACCCCCCCCACACACCTCCACCACCTCCATTACCACCCTGTCCCCATATGGCGGCGGCGGCGGCGGTGTTGCCAGCCCGAGGTCCTGTCCCTGTTCGCCTCGGCGGGATTCCACTGCGACTCGGTGACCACCCATGAGCGCACCGTCGTCAACCACAAGCGGGACATCGCCATGGACCGTCGCTGGGTGCAGGTGGGGGCGGGCCGGGGGGGAGGGGGCTGCCGTGTATACGAGCGTGTGGCGGTTGGGGCGTGTGGGGGAAGGGGAGGGCTGGCGGGGGGATTGTGGGGAAAGTGAGTGTGGGGGAGGAAATGCAGACGCCGCATCCGTTTGGTTTCGCCCTTCGCTGCATTCGTGGAGGGTTCGGCACACACTCACACGAGGGGTATGTGTTTGTGCGTGTATGTGTCGTTCACGACTTGGCAGGAGTTGCCATGACACGGGTATGTGTGTTTGTATTAACAATCACCACATCTACACATACACGCGGCGTACGGCGTCCATGCATGTGTACGACCTCAGGCCATCTTCACCCTCCGGCAGTACACCCCGCCTCCCACCCCGCTGAGGGAGCTCCTCACGCAGCCCATCCAGCCGCACCACCACCACCACCAACAACAACAACAACAACAACAGAGAGACCAGCGCCACCAGCACCACCAGCAGCAGGCCCTTCAGCCGCTCACTGACTTCGACGGCGGCGGCAGCTGTATCAGCGACAGAGGAGGTGACGAGGGCAACAACACAGCCGCCATGGATATCGACGCCGGCAATGACAACCAGCAGACGGAGGCAAGGGCGGCGGAGGCACCGCCACCCTCGTCGTACCGCGGCAGCGCTGCCACCCTTGCCGCTGGGAACGCAGTGGGCACGGCCGTCTCCTCCTCGGGGTTGTACGGCGGTAGCTGGCTGACTGGGGCAGCTGGCCGGCTGGCGTCTCACCTTGCTGGAGGTCCAGGCGGGTTTTAGGGTTTTAATGGTTTCAAGGGTTTAACTACTTCTTGCACCTTTTGGCCTGAAGCTCAATATGACCGCCGTACGAAACACTGGCCAGAACTAACTAGCCGGCTTCCGACCACCATGCATTTGTGTGCTTATGTATGTTTGTATGTATGTATGTATGTATGTATGTATGTATGTATGTATGTATGTATGTATGAATGTATGTATGTATGTATGTATGACTTAGATTACACTGTGGGCCGCGAGAGCCGGGGGCCGAAGCCGAAACACAGCGCAAGGGTCGGGAGCACACAGCACAAGTCGGTTAGTCTTGTGTGCTCCCGACCCCGACTCAGACTGCCAACACGCTACGCAGCCACTCCGCAGTCCCTCCGTCCGGGGATGGCGCTGCAGCGAAAACACCACGAAGGGCTCTCAGGTCCCGTTAGAGCCAGTCCACAAGTCTCAGCTAGGGCAAAGGCAAAAGCTCTCTGGAACATCCCCCCAAAACACAACCAGCGACACAGGGAAGAAAAACCCGAACAACGAAATAAGACGGCTAGGGTAGCCCAGGCAGGGGAGGGCTCCTGATACACCTAACACGCCAAAAAAGAAAAAACTCCAAGAAAGAAAGGCGTAGAGAGCTCGAACCAGAAGACGTCCTTCAGCCACCTCACGACAAATGTCCTCCTCTACCTCTCCCTTGCTGGGCTGGTCCAGGGGAGAAGTAACCAACCAAAGAAAAGGGACCACGCACTAGCCCGATCACCGCTGCAGGTGCCCGGCACAGACCAGCGCCACCACAAGCGGGACAACGTAGCCACGACACACAGCTCCTAAGCCCACCAGAATACCGCAAGGGGAGGATAGTAGCCCGCGCGGCGCCTCCCCCTTGCCGTCACTAAACCGGAACGGCTGGTCCTCCAGAACCTACTCACCCTGCCTCGTACTGCACCGCTCCCACCCTCGCCCCTCGCCAAGCGACCCAGTCCTGCAAAGAAGACGTGCCTAAGTAGAATGGTCCTCCTCGGGCCACCACTTCCCCTCATCCGAGGCCCGTTGCTACCACCAAAGCTCACCCTCCCGAACACCAGAAACCTACGTCCTCTTGGCGCTCTCACCGCCACTTCCCCCCTCCCCCCTACCCGCGCAACCCCACCTCCCCCGGGCTCTCCAACACCCTACAACCTCGGAGCGGCACTGGGGAGGAAAAAGGATTCCTCCCCGCACTACATGACCCTCTCCACTCCACGCCCTAGTCCTCTCCCTCTCCCGCTTCGGGGCTTCCTCTCTCCTATTCCCTTACCTCTATCCCCCGTCAACTCCTATACCCCGCCCCAGCCATGCCCTACATATTATTGCCTAAGAGCAATAATTTCCACCGCATCGGCACACCGCAGCGCGTCTTCTGAAACCGACAGGATCGGGTGGTCGGGTCCCACCCTGTCGCATCCTCTCCGCGGGATGCCCAGCGCCGTGAAAGAGCGCAAACGCGCCCAGAAATCCACCACTGCCCGGGCGCAGGCCCGCTCCAAGGGGGTTGCTACTGGGGCCGCTGCCGCCGCGGCTGCCGTTGCTGCTACCACCCCTGTCGCCGTGTTCCGCTCCTGTGTTTGGTCCCCATCCCCCGGCGCGTTCAGTGCAGGCCCCGTCTGCGGTCCCACCCCGTTGGCCTGGGTGAAGAAGTCCGTTATCCGCCTCTGCCTGGGGCCGGGCGCCTGCCCCTGTTGAACGTGTTCCCGTTGCTGCGGACCTTGGCTCCCAGCTCGTTCCTGCCTCCTGCCCGCTGCCCTCAGGCAGCATCTGCCAACCTCCATGTATGTATGTGTGTATGCTCCACAGGTCAGCCCCCCAGCGGCCGGGCGCTACTGCCGGAAACCCTGGACTCCGCTGAAGACCAGAGGGCCCAACTGTCACCGTCAACCACCCAACCCAACCAACCTAACCGTCGTCACTACAACCATAAACACCACCGGCAATCCCAACAGCCAGCTCCCTTCGCCGTACAATTGAGCGGCGGGGGAGTCGGTGGTGGTGGTAATATTGATGGCGAGGCAGGGGCGGTTGTTGTGGATATGCAAGTGGATGGTGGTGACGAAGGTGGTATAGGAGGAGGCGCAGCGGCGGGAGTACGGCAGCGGCGGCGGCGTTCAGGCGGCTCGAGCTGCGAGGAGGTTGGCGGTGGCAGCGCCGCCGCCGGTGGCACGCAAACGACTCTGGAGAGCGAATTGGAGGTAACGAATCTGAGGTACTTTTTTTGAAAAAAGATTGTGTTAACCCCCTCCGGGGAGTTCGGGATTCTTCTGGTCTTACGAGTGGGGGAGGTCACTTGCTGCGGCCCAATGGCGTCGGCTTAGCTGTCGCTCTGCCTGTCTGTCTGCCTGTCTGTCTGTCCATCTATTGCGCTACCTTCCCCTTCCTTTGCGACCCCTGCTCCGGCTGCCCCCTCAGGCGGAGTTCTTCGCCACCATCGACCGGGACAGTGCTGAGGTGTGTCGAGTGTCATATCCTGTGTGTATCTACTGCACGCCGCGAGAAGAACATCACACAGGTTCAGGCAGGAGTCGCTACATGCGCAGAGGATACCTTTACTGAAGACACAAGTAATCGTAGTTCATAGCAGTGATGCAGAAGTAGGATACAGCCAGCTGAACGCTTGAACAAGTGGATGTGCGATAAGGAAGACGCCGGAGAAAGTGGAGTTACAGCCTTCCCTGTGGTGGCGGTGGCGGCGACGTGGACTACCGCCGGGGGTTCGTGGCGGCGGCGGCGACTGCCCGACAGCCCGGCGGCTCGAGGGCGACGAATGCGAAACCCGTGCAGGCAATGCAGGGTCTTTACTCCCAACTGAAGGACTCTGAGAGCGGCTGGACTCTGTAACCTATCGTAGCTAGCTGGCTGGCGGTAGTAGCAGCAGCAGGGGTTAGGAGGTGTTGTTTGGAAGATGTGCGGGCAACTGCAAGGGCAACAGAGACAGTGTGGTCATGTGCGGTGACATCATCCTGGCCCGGATTCATTCATGTCGTACATGGATCACCCAACGTTTCAGGTGGTGGCGGAGGAGGTGGCGGCTACCGGCGCGGCGTTGTCCCGGGTGCGTCTGGTGGACCTGGCGGAGGTGGCGGCGGCGAGGGTGGCAGAGGTGGCGGCGGCGAGGGTGGCGGAGGTGGCGGCGGCGAGGGTGGCGGAGGTGGCGGCGGCGAGGGTGGCGGAGGTGGCGGCGACGGGGCCCCTCCTCAGCGACGCCAGTGGCCGCGGCCCCACTGCTGCCGCTGCCCCCCTGACCCCGCAGCCCCCGCTGGAGGTCGATGTCGAGGTGGCTGCGGGCGCCACCTTCCGCTGCCTGCTAGGTGAGTACAAAGTTGGTCGCTAGGACTTAGAAGTGCCATAAATCTATATAAAACCCTACACAAATCCGTATTCATTTGCTGTTTTGCTTTTGTATAACCGAAGTGTGGTGCTGATATCACCCGTGCCAGTAATCCGAAAATGTTAATAATTAGGAAACTGGCTGATAGAGACCTAACTACTCCGGAACGGCTCAGCAGCTGCCGGTGACAGGAGAGCACGGGGCAGTTGGTGGCATGGGGGGGAGGGGTCGGCAGCGGTATTGCATCCGTACGCAGGAGCTGGTGAGTCATCAGGCCGAATGGCTTCCATCCATCATCTTGCGGGTTTCTGGGGCATGTGCGTGTGTTCATGTCTTAGGCACCTTAGCACCGGCATTAGCTGACCAGGTCCTGAAGCGCTCAAAGCGGCTCCCCTTGGCATATAACCGCCCCATATTGACATCGTTCCCTCTCCCCCCCACCGCCATGAACCCCTTGGGACACCCAACCGGCCCGGCAGGGGGGGGCCCGGGGGCCGCAATCCCGCCGGCAACGCTAGCTCTCGCACGCATGTTGCTGTCGTCGCCACGCCTCCTGGGCGGGAGGGCCGTGCTGCAACTGGCCCCTGCATGCCGGATGGCGGCGGCGGCGGCGGCGGCATCCGCCGTCACGCCGTCATCATCATCATCAACTGCAGCAGCAGCAGCAGCCACCGCTGGTGGGTGCAGCCCCGGGTCAGGCGCCGCTACCGGACCAGAGCTGGCGGCGGCCACCACTTCGCCGGGGTACGTTCTGCCCGCCATGGCTGCCGTACGCGGCTCGGCCCGGCGAGTTGTGATTTCGGAGGCGGGCCGACTGGGCCTGGCGGCGGCGGCCGCCGACCTCCGTCGTAACGCCCACTCCGTAGTCATCGAAAGGCTGCGGATGGCGACTTTAGACTGGGTCGCCGCCGGCAGCGCCAACCCCGCACTGGGGCATGACGCCACGGCCCCCGCCAGCTTAGTTGCCGGGTATAAATACATGCCTGGAGCTGTACGGCAGCTCCGTGATGTACTGCAGATGCAGCCTTCTGGGTACAACCTGCTGTACGCCGCCGACCCGTTGTCGGAGGTGACAATGAGCACCACCGCCGCCGCCGCCGCCGCCCAGGAGGGAGCCCCTGGAGCAGCAGCCGGGCTGGCGGGAGGGGTGAGGGAAGGTGATGGAGAGGCGTTGGCAATCACCGCTGCGCGAGCTTTGTTCCAAGTGGCCAGTCAGCTCCTTGTTGGTGGCGGCGGCGGCAGCGGAGTGATGGGCGGTGGCGGTCGCGGCGGCAGCACCGGCGGTGGTGCAGAACGGAATATGGGTCTTTTGCTGCTCTGTGTACCTGGGGCGTGGGCAGCGATGCACGGAATGGGGTTTGCCGCATTCGCGGGGGCTTGCGGTTGGGAGTTGTTGGTTCCGGAGCAGTTGGCGGATCTGTACGGCGTTAACGTGGCGGCAGCGGCGGCGTTGGGGTGTGCGGCCTTGGGGTTTCGCAGGCGGAGGGGTTAATAGTGCTGACGGTGGTGGTGGTGGTGGTGGTGGTGGTGGTGGTGGTGGTGGTGGAAGTGGTGGTGGTGGTGGTGGTGGTGGTGGTGGTGGTGGTGGACGGCTATCGGCTTCCCCCGCCCGTCGCCACGTGAGCTGCAGACGGGGGAAAGGGATGCTATGTAGGGGGAAAGGAGAGGGAGATGGTGATGCTTGTGGATCAGATCATTTTGTGCGGGGGATGGTTCCGGAGCCACGCACCGGAGAAGCGGATATTGGCCTCCCTTGCTGTCGCGGTAAGCTCAGTTCCTGATAACCGAAATGTCTACATCTGAGTCTAAGAGAGGATCGGCTATCCATCCACGTAGCGCGACAGCCCGGAAAGGTGCAAGATGGGCCATCCAAACCTCCAGCATACATAGCAAAAAGGCTTTCAGCATAAATGTAGAAAGCAATCGAAGGGAAAAGAGATAAGATGCCCATACTGTTCCAGACGCGCAGGCATTGTGTTGACCTTGCTTAGGAGTAGCACAGGGTAGCACCAACGCACTGGAGCAATTGAATCAGTAGAGCAGTGAGGTCGTTGCAATGGCCACAAGCACTGGGCACTAGTGAAAGGGATTCAGCAAAGAAGGACCGTACGCGTCACGTCCAACATCAATGTTAGTGACGGTTAGTAATCATTTGGCGGTGGACCGAGCCCACCGTACGGCATCCGAGCTGGCTCACAGCATGCACACGCCCACTCAACCCCCTTCCCCTCAACCCAACACGGCACCATGTCCCGGACCAGGTTACGCCCCTATACTGCATTCACCCTGCCGGCCTGCCTGTGCAACACAGCGCATGGCCGACAGGCCAATCAAGCCTCTTACCAAAGTTTCTTTGAAGACTGCCATCCAACCGTTATGTACTGTGTGATTGGCAAACAGGGATGATCGGGAGAGGGATAGCCGTCCTGACGGGACACCCGCTAGGAGTGTAACACCAGGCAAAGTACCCGCCAAGCTTGCGTGCGCCCATGCATGTCGTTGACGTTGGTAAAACCCTAAGCAGCACCCCTGAGCCGCTTGCCGAGGCCACGGATACTTTAATGATGAAAGAGGAACATGCCCAGGCACTGGGTACACAGGCAGGGGTAAAGCAACCCTCCGAGGCATATTCATAGCTATGACCGCGGCAAACAGGAACTGACTGAACTGTGCTTGTTTAAGACTCTGGGGTAATGGAAGACCTGTTGTGTACGACATTACACATGCCTAGGGAGCCGCGGATGAATGAGTTCTGGCAAGTGGTGGTGCATGTGGATGTCCGTCCGTGTCCTGGAAGGAAGACGGGCTGGCTATTGTAATGACGACGGGGTTGCAGGTGGTGGGCCACCTATTCTGTTACAAAGCAAGGCTCCGTTAATGTTCCGTACGAAGCGGGACGTCACAGGCACGATGCTCCAGGTGCCCTGCTTAAGGAGCACATAACAACAGTGCCCTGCAGTGCTTACACAACCCAGGATGGCGATACACACACCGCGGTGCGCTAACAGCCCCTCACGTGCAGCGACTTACATGGCCAGTACCTGCGGATCAGGATCCCAGGCTGCCACGACCTGCTGCTCCAGGGTAACCCCAGCATGCGCTGCCTTGCCTCATCACGCAGCGACTTCCCGAATAACAAGTACCCGGTAACACCACGCCCACCCTTCCCTGCACTGATGATCCCCGCTGCACCCACACCCTCACTACAGCTCTCGGCACGGAGACCAGCAGAAGCACCAGAAGTGGACGCTCGGCGAGAGGGGCCCTCTGCTGAACGTTTAGGCGATGTGAAGACACCACCCGGCTCACAGGGCACCTCCACTAAAGGTCCAAAAGTCCCGAGCCGCTTTAGGTGGTTAAGCAGCTGGTTAATGTGCGACAATGTCTTCATTTCCATCCACTGCGTCCAGAATTCTGCGGCCTGCCACTCATACCACCGCGGGTTTGCTTTGTTTGTTTAATGCACATCACCCAAGGATAACCCAACTCGCACCCGGGTCTCTGCAGGCTGAGGACAGTGATTTTTTTTCATTTAGGGCGGGTCTCAATTTATTCCGACCTAAGTTACAAAGTTGCTAGGGTCGCCGTAATTTATTCCGGAAGTGTGGGGCGCTGGGGGGGGCTGCGCCCCCCCCAGACCCCCCCGATAAGTTACAACTCCCCCCAGAGACCAAGACCGCTGGCAGCAACACCATTGCCGATGCATTACCGACAACAGCACCGCCGTTCCAAACGCCTTTATCAGGAAAATTTTCAGGCTTATCTTGTTGTTTTGGTGTTTGTTCGACGTTCGAGTCGTTGCCTATTGCGTGTTTGGCTATGTGAGGACCGGTCATACATTCTGCTATGCCGCGTTGACTCACGGGCTTGACCTTCTTACGGCCCCTCATATCTATTCTATGATCGATAATACTAAGTTCTGCACACTACGGAGCAATCTGGCAGCAATGGACGTTTTTAACTGGAGGAATGAAAATGTACGGATCGGCCTCAATTCATTCCGTTTTTCCGAAGGCCAAAATGGCCTCTTTATTCCTTTTAAGTAATATATTACTTAAAAAAACACTGGTTGAGGAACGGGTTGAAGCCCTGTTGCCATTTCTCTCCATAACTTGCATGCAGAAGGGACACCCTATTGCATAAAACGGGGGGTAACCCCCCCTTAAGCGTAACCCAGGGGGTAGGGGTAGGGGTTACCCATGTGGCTATGTACGAATGGAGCTGGGTAACCTAACCCCGGGGTAGGGGTAACCCCTTACCGAGGGGTAACAAAGGGGTCGGGGTAATACACTACTGATGGGTAACAGACAGGGTAACCCATGTTTACATTCACCTGCGCCTGTCTTGCCTGTCTGCACACGCAAACAGACATGTCTTCACCAATCACTTGTGAATGCCCAATCATCAACATTGCCGCACCAAAACATGTACATCATTGTACAATCTTGAATGCTTAGGTAAGGCTGGCTGTTATACCACAGCTCCAGAAAAATACCGATCGGCGGATGCAGATCCCGTGGTTTGCCCAGGGTCCCCCACTGGCCATCATGACATCTGATAACATCTGTATACATGTATACACCATATTGCTGCAGTCGCTCACCTAGCGAAGATCACTAATGTTCGTAGCAAATCTAACGGGTTGGGGCCCCATCGACAGTATCCTAGTACGGCAGGTCCGTAGTAGAGATTCATCCGGCAGTAACAGTGACGGTGGCGATGGTGGCGGCGTGCTGCTTTACAGCCTGATGACATTCGTTATTCGCAACGGCCTTCCTGCACTACATCAGGGCGCCTGGATGTACATGGCCTATGTGAACAATCTTGTACGGCCCAGCTGGGGACTGCCCGGGCTGTTGGTGTCCGCAGGTACGGCACACACTGGACGTGCGCGCGTGTGTGTGAGGAGTGGGGTCGCTATCTCGTCTTCGCATCATGGACTTTCCTCGTCTCGGCAGTTGTTCCTCGCGGCTCAGATTTTATGAGAGGGTAGTTCTCTATGCAACAAGCTGCTTACACGTCGTCGTCCTCCATAAACGCTTGCCGCCGCAGGTACGGCACTTCGCACGGTGCTGGGCTGCCTGAGTAGGGGCTCGCGGCGGGGTGGCGGCTCTGGACGAGTTGCGCTGCCTTGACATGGCGGAGCCCTTCGTTCAGGAGTTCCTGGCCAGAAGGGGCGCCATGGCCTTATGAGCGGCCGGCCCCAACGCCGCCTTTCAGGTCCGGACCGCTTCCGCACGTTTCCACAGCTCCCTGACATGCGGCTCCGGCACGGGCTTCACGGCATCACCAAGCTTCTCCTGTCATCCAACAACTAGTATGTCACATTTGATGTACATTTGCTGCCGCCGTACATACTCCTCGGTTTTCCTTAATGGAGTAAGGAACCGCAATAGAACATACGGAAATTGATATCGGATTTCTCCCCAGGGCCCTACCTCACCCACCTCTACCCCTACCCCCATCTCACTCCCACACCCACCTCATCTCATCCGGTCTCCTACACCACCTCGTAACCCGTCATCCCCGTACAACCTTCTCATTGAACCATTCAGCCGTCATCAGCCAGTCCCCGGGCTTCGCATCCGGTTCAGCAGGTATGGCTGTTTTACGGAATTCCGCTATTTCCATCCACAACAGCAGTCAATACACACACACACACACATCGGACCCGCCCTCCAGGGTGTACTGCTCTGTGTGCACATCCCGAAGGCCTTTACCCAGGCCCTCCGAAGGGCAGTGGCACCGCCTTGGCGGATCTCACCCCAGCCAAGCTGTGTGACAGCGCCTTCACTAAGGGCATGGTGCCCGGAGGCGCTTTGCTGTGGCTGCCGATGAGTGAGAGTGGGCATAGACCCCCTGGCCGTCGTGCAGGAGGGCAGTGGACGGCTGCACGGCAGCATGTACTAGTGGCCCCAGCATTGCGCATCGGGACAAGGGCCACACACAACGTCCCCAAGTGACACACCCACCCGCTACCACACATTAAGAGTCGACCCACCGCTGTATGTCGCATACCCAATCCAAAACATTAGGTTACATATCAGGAACACCCCAAGGGAACCCTTGCTAAAACCCTTGGAAAAATCGTTCCTAACTCCTGTGTCGCCCCATTCCATGCATCCCAAGCCCAAATATAGCGCCGACATGACAACGCCAGCTGGGGGCGCGCGCAAGACACAGGGAAGACGGCGAGGGCAGCCCACGAACTACACGGACCTGTTCGGCCGCGTTCCGCTGCCCGGTGACAAAGGGACACCAGGCGATTAACACGTTCTCTGAGGCACTCCCAGATCGGGGCACAGGACGACGTGCTGTCCCCCACCGCACCACAGCCTGCACACTCCGCTAGGGTCCCCCGATGCAGGCTGCAAAGAACCATGAGTCATCAGTACGCTGCACTTCGGGTCTCCCCAGCTCGCTCGTCATCAGAGCCCTCCGCTGATCCGCCGCCCGCACTCCTGGTGATGTTTGCCTTATATGTAAATTCCTCGAGGGCAACACGTATCCACTGTCATCAACACACCCCAGGGTTCAGCCACCACAGCCATCCCCAGGCACCGCAGCACACAAAGTGCACATGCCTGAAGAGTTACCCAGCGCCACCACGCACCTACCTTCCTCCCGCACACCTGGAATCGCGCGAAATCACTGCAAGGGTCAGGAGCGAACACATGCGCACGAACGTGCAGGCATACCGCACCAAGCTGTGACCTTCGCCACAAAAGAATTTTACCTTGTCCATAAAACCTGAACTCACTCCGGTGGAAGATAGCGAACGTCGACAAGAGTAACGACTTGTCAAACAATAACCAGTACACGGCCTGTCTTGGCTCTCATCAGCAGGTAAGCTGTAGCTACTACAATAATTGCCTGCCCTGCGCACGCTCCAAGCGCAGCTGCTTCAGCTCCTCCTGCGCCTGCCTGCTGAACGTTCGCTCCAACTCCGCCGCTGCGTCCAACTCGTCGCAGTGCTTGGCTGCGAACGTGGACAGCGCATTGACCAGGGCGTCGACGCCATTGAAGTCGACGCCCGCGATGAGAGCATCGTCCCTGATGGCTGCTGCGCTGTCCGCCGCTCTGCAGTGTACCGCGTAGTTGCTGTCCGTGTTGAGCTGGTCCAGGAGGTCAGACTGGCTCCAGAAGCCATACGCCATCCCGTTCGCATTGCAAAATGCTCGGGCTGCCTCCTCGATGCGGTTGAAGATGGCAGGAGTCTGGCCAAACTTGGCATAAAGTTTGATTACCCCCTGGAAGCTGTAGATCTTGTTTACCGCCTCCTCCATATATGCATCCGGCACCGCGCCAGCCAGCGCCTTGCACAGGGCTGCCAGCAGACGGCTACCAGCCTTGGCACGCAGGTTCTGCACATGGTCCATGACCTGTAGCATAACACAACAAAAGGCACCAAGTGAAGAGCTTGCCAGCGGCGTAGAGGGCTTTAGAGCTGCAGTTCTACCTTGCGGCTCCGCAGTTCAAGGTCCAAGTCGCTAGACACCCGAAGGTCTGGCTGTGAAGAGAAGTACTTCTCTTCACAGCCATATTTGGATGGAGTCAGTCCCTATCTATTATACTACTAGGACACGATCTATAGGCGATAAAAGATTTACAGTTAGACGACCGCCACGCAGCATCCCAAGTGACGTAACCGACCAAAAAGCGAGGGATGCTACAGCACTGATTATTATACCGACGACGCACCGTAGAAACGTAAGGCGGCCACAGGAGCAGCACTATCTACCCTAGATCATTATCACACCTTTGTGAATAATGCCGTGGTGTGCTAAACTGTTCATCACTGCAACGACAGCGCAAAAAAATGTACACATCACGGCTCGAAATGAAACAACCCGCAAAAACGGCAAAAACACCATTAATTACTGGCGGCCGCCAGCAAGTGCGGGCACTGGTAACCATCAGCAAGTGCGGGCACTGACACTTTGTGTCAGCACGACCACCCAGCAGCGGGTGTCGCGACGGAATCGCGATTGTTACCGCCCCAATCAAAGAGGAGGGCAGGAACTAGCGTTAGATGGCGGAGGGATCCTGACGCTGTCTGGTAGGTCAATTAGGTGCACTGGGGTATTTCACTGTAAAGGTGGGGCGGGCGGGAGGCAAGGAGGCTCACCTCAACAACCAGTTAGAGGGCGCTAGCTGTCCGCGCACTAGATGGCTCTAGAGGTCATGCAAACAAATGATGGTGCGACCGCCAATCCAAGCCGCCGGCCTCACCATTACGCTCCCCAGCCGCCGTATTCCTACCCTCCGAACGAACAAAGCAAACCCCGCGCGACGAATGTAAGCCTCCTCGCATTGTCGAGCCATTTCGAATATGTTCACTCGCTCATAGCACTAACCTCAAGCTCTCAACCTCATTGAGCAGTTTACGTGTTTACACACTGCGACCTGTTTTATCGCGATATGACAAAATGCCCGGACGACATCCTAACATTTACCCAGCAGCCAATTTGCGAAGTCTAGCAGTAATCTCCTCGATGTCGTGCAGTTGGTCCTTTAAATCTTGGATTCGCAGCTTCGTGCCCAGACCCACTTGACGAAGCTGCAGGTTCTGCCGCCCAGCCTTGTCGTCCATGCCGCTGCCAACGCCATTGCCGCCAACGCCGCCAGCAGCTGTAAAGGCGCCCTTGGATGCCTTCCCCTGCCCCCAGAGCCCCACGCCTGACGACGGCGGCGATGAAGTCGAGGACGGTGGGAAGGCTGCCGAGTCCAATTTGGTGCGGAGCTCATTTACAGATGACTGCATCAACGGTGGCGGGTATTATATTTTCAGGTACATATGCGTGACGGCAGCACAGGGAAAAACGCGACGAAGGGGAGGGAGCGAAAAAAAAATCGCCTTTGAGATTATCGCCTTTGCATCATATTAGGGAAAGAGGAAAGAAGCTAAGAGAGGTGGAGAGATTGAAATAAAATGCGAATAGAAGTGCAATAAGAGCTGGAGTAGGTCATGGCTGGGTTGTATTCTGGGGTCAGGGTACTGCGGTCTGACGGGGGTTTTGGAAGGGGCGGGGGGTATCTAGGTGCAGCTCATGCGATGAAGAGTGTGGGGACGGGCATGCGACAGGGTGCGACAGGGTGCGTGTATTGGAATGAGAAGGGGTTAGGACAGGAGAGAAATAAGGCGCGAGCTTCACCCTAACATTCCACCCATAAACAACAGCAACAACAGCAGCAGCAGCAACAGCAACAGCAACAACAGCTGCCTTATCCACTCCGCGGATAAACCCCAGTGCGAAAACCCCATCCATCATCCATCGACTAATCGGAAAAAGGTAGGTTCGTAAACGGTAGGTAGGCCCTAAGTATATCACGCACTTATTTACTCAGACCCTGCTCTAGGGCATCCCCCCATACACATCTTACAAACCTTCATATTCGAATCTAGTTCGCGTGCCTTTCCGTAGCCGTCAACCCCGCAACCCGACAGATTTACCTGCAGCATCTCCAGACCACGGCTATTCGACTGTAGCATCAGCTTCGCCCCTGGGCCTCCCTTCACCAACATCGCATTCAGCCCATTCAGTAACCGGCCGAGCCCGCGACTTATCGTGGCCACCCAAATATCGTTTATGGTCGTTCCCGTGTCATACAGTGCGCCAGTGAGCAGCTGATATACCACTCCAAGCGCATCCAGCCTGGTGCGTGTGCCAGTGAGCAGCAGCTGGAAGGCATTCTGACCGGCATCCCTCAGGTTCTTGGAAGTCATCTTCATGGCGTCTAGTGCGGCTGAGCTAAGAGGGCCGAGGAGGGCCGGGGCTGGTGACCCATTCCGCAACGAGAGCCCCTCCAACTGCATGGATTAGCCAATGACGAAGAGGGGAAATGGCGAGAAAAACACAGTAATGAGATAGATAGCGACTTCCGTAAAGGTGGGTTCAGTGGCAGACGGAAGCGAGAGAGAGCGTGGGGATGGGGCAGCTGGCAGGCTGTGCGAGTGTGTGACCCGGAAGCGGGGGGAGGGCTCATTTTTGGCTCATTCCATCACCTCCAATGGAACCAGGTCCTCCAGTAATATTTGGGTGCAGAGAGGGACGGGGCGGGCACTCATGTCCCAGTGGAAAAGTAGGAGGTAAGGTGACAGGCGAGGCAGAAGTATATCCCAGGTATAAACGGCGTTGGTGTGGATAACAAGTTTGTTGAAGCCATATTGCGGCCGAAACCCTCATGTGCCCACATGTGCTATTTTTTCCACGGGGACGAAGTGCGACTTTCTTTTTTGGGAAAGAAAATCGCAAAAGAATCGCTAACAAACTCGAAACCCTCCCTCCCATGTGAAGTCCTTCCACATCAGCATTAAGATCAGCTTCGTCACTTCCCCGCACACCCCACACCCCACCCCACCCCACCCCACCCCCCACCACCCCACCCCACCCCACCCCACCCCCAACCACCACGCCGTCGTCCCCACCTGCTTCGAAGCCATCTTTGTGGCCGATTGTAACGCCTTCATAGCCGTCTCCACTCGATCCGCACCCTCGTTGAGACGGCTGGCCATGACCTCGGCGGCGACCTACACACACGGGGGATATTGAGAGGGAAAGGGGGCGGATTCACGCGGGACGGGATCATGCAGGGAAATGGGGGGAGTATGATAGCAAAAGAATGCGGGACGCGGGGGGGGTTTAGGGGGGAAAATCCAGGGTAGGTGGTGGTGGGGTAAGCTGGAGGAAGGGGAAGTGGTAAGGAACTGCCCTCCATGTCCCACCTGCATCGCCTCCAAGAACGCCGGCACCTGAACGCCGGCTACTGGTCCTTGCTGCAACCCGGGGAGGTGACCCGCAGAAAAGCCGCGCAGAGCAGTGCCAGGGGGCAGCTGGGCCCGGCCGCCCATCTCCGTGGCCGCTGCTTACACCACCGCCCAACAAAACGCAGAACGGAGGAGAGACAGCAACTCAAATTTTCAATTTTAGATCGGTAAGTTTAGATCCATAATATTAAACTGAAAATGTAATCAATAGCTATTTTAACCGCCAGATAGAGTGGCATAGCATTACGTAAAGTAACAACCGACAGGGTTTTGGCGAGCACTTTCAAACGGGATATCGGAGCCTGGGCCACCTGGGTCAATCCACTCTTTTCAAAAAGGTATACATCACAGTTACACTATCAGCAGTTAGGTATGAGCCGAATGCGTACCTCCTGTCATCCTGTCGAGGGCCTTACCAATGTCGTCCCACCTGGAAAAGGACGGAGATGGAGATGGTGGAGGCAGCGTCAACGATTAACCCGGGCAGGGCAGGGCAGGGCAGAACAATATAAATAGGGATAAGGGATAACATGTATATGTTATGTAGAAACGGTAGACACGCACCGGGGGCACGAGAAAAGGAGGAGGTTAGAAAGATTTGAGGGAGCTCGTTGGCGGGGTTTGCTGGTCGGTTGGTTAGTTGGTTGGTTGGTTGGTTGGTTAATTGGATCATGGGAAAGTCCATTTGATGGTCCCCTCCATGAGCTGTACTTGTTCTCCATGAGCTGACGGGTTCCGTTTTGTAGTCTGTTTTGTGCCTGGCGGCGTCACGGCGGGCTTGGACGGGTCACGACGAGCTGGGAAGAATAGCAAAGGTCATCGCTCCTTGCAAAGAAGATCTCCTTCGTCACTTTCTCTCCCATACCGCCATGCAGCCATACCGCCATACAGCCATGCAGCCATGTACGCACGCCGCACACCAGGGCACGCACCTGAACCCGTTCTGCAGTGCGCCGCTCTGCGCCATGGTACCCAGCAGCGGCGGGTCACCGTCCAGCAGGGTTCGGAGCACCGACTGGGCCATGGAGCGAACTGAGGCCGCCGGGGGATCAGAGGGGGGGTAGGTGGCCGAGGACTGCGAGCCATCGACTGCGGGCGGCGGCACCGTGGTGTTGGACAACGAATAAAGCTGCGGGGATGGGCGAACGGGGGGGGGCCAGGGGCGGGCAGGGCCAAGGCCGGGTAGGTGGATGACATGGAACTCGAATCAGCGCCAGCAGCAGCATATGCTTTTGTGGTTCCATGTCAACACTCCAACCTGCTACCTGTTATCTTGTGCCGTAGTATCGTACTCACCACATCCGACAGAGACGATAAAAAGTTCGACACCAGCCCATCCGAGTCGTTAAGAGCCGTGTTGCCCAACCGCCACATTGACCGCATGGCGGCGCGGTTGGCGGCGGCGGCGGTTGCATTGACTGCAGCGTCTGCCGCGGGGCCCAGCGTGCCATTGCTGCCGCCGCTACCGGTGGTATTGAGTCGGCTTGATGCCGTACGTGGTGTTGACGTGGCGTTGAGCTCTGCCAGGCGGTTTAGCAAGCGTTGGACGAGCGTAACATCCTCATCATCCAGGGCTGCTCTGGCGGCGGAGTCGGTGGTAGAGTTGGTACCGTCGGCGTCGTCGTCGGCTGGTACAGTGGTGTTGGCGGCAGAGCTATGAATATCCACCCTGTTTGTATTGTACACGGGAGGATGGAGGATGGGAGGAAGGATGGGAGGGAGGATGGGAGGAAGGGATGCGGGGTTAAGAATACGCAGCACCTTGGTGGCGGTCGGTAGAGGCGGTTGCTAGCCAAGGGAGGGAGTCAGCAACAAACGGTGAACAAACGGAAGACTGAGCTATCGAACAGAGGGACCAAGCAAACCAACAAAAGGCAATAACCAGCTTCCAATATCTTACCTGTTGATGCGTTTCAGCAGCTGCTCCAACAAGCCATTGCTGCCGCCGCGCATCGGACCGGTGGCGCCACCATTATTCGGCACGGCCGCCATAATCATCGCCGCGTCGCCGGTGCCAGTAGACGGAGCAGCGGCGGCAGTGCTACCTTCTGGCGTCATGATGACTGTCGTAACGCCGTCCGAGGCGTTTGTGGCGGCGGCGTTTGTGGCGGCGGCGTTTGTGGCGGCGGCGTTTGTGGTGGCGCCGCTTGTGGCGGCGGCGTTTGTGGCAGCGCCGCCTGTGGCGGCGGCGTTTGTGGCGGCGGCGTTTGTGGCGGCGGCGTTTGTGGCGGCGCCGTTTGTGGCGGCGCCGTTTATGGCGGCGCCGTTTGTGGCGGCGCCGTTTGTGGCGGCGCCGTTTGTGGCGGCGCCGTTTGTGGCGGCGCCGTTTGTGGCGGCGCCGTTTGTGGCGGCGCCGTTTGTGGCGGCGGCGTTTGTGGCGGCGGCGCCTGTGGCGGCGGCGTTTGTGGCGGCGGCGTTTGTGGCGGCGGCGTTTGTGGCGGCGGCGTTTGTGGCGGCGGCGCCTGCGGCGGCGGCGTTTGTGGCGGCGGCGCCTGCGGCGGCGGCGTTTGTGGCGGCGGCGTTTGTGGCGGCGGCGTTTGTGGCGGCGGCGTTTGTGGCGGCGGGGTTTGTGGCGGCGGGGTTTGTGGCGGCGGGGTTTGTGGCGGCGGGGTTTGTGGCGCTGTTTGTGGCGGCGATGCTGCCGTTGAGGACGGTTTCGGGGACGATGGCGGCTCGGAGCTCACTGCTGCTGCCACCGGGAGCTGCAGCGTGGGCGGCTGCTCCGTTCTGCTGCTGCTGCTGGTAGTTTGCCTGCTGTACCGCCGCCGCCGCCGCCGGGCCCCCTGCCTCACTCGTCTTGCTCCCGTTCACGGCGTTAGCGGGGCACAGCACCAGGGTCCACTTGGTCAGCTGGATGGTACGGCTGGGCGGTACGGCAGCCGAGGGGAGGAGAAAGGGGGGGATGTGAGGGAATGAGGAGCAGAGGTACGACCCCACAGCAGCAGGTTATGCAACGAGGATTGTACATCCCTCCTTACAGGTCTCGGTCACCAAGGACCACCTACTATCTATATATATCTTGGGCAGAAAGAGAAATATTTGGTCATAATTAGCATATCTGGATCTGGGCTGGTTGTCACGAAGCGTATCTTGACCTGGTGAATAAACCAATAAGAAGCACCCCGTAACGTTAAGGAACCCGGTGATAATAATGAACCTCGTCCCCCTAGTGGGTTGCGGTAGTTGCGCTAAGCGGTTATGGTGGTTGTGACGGTTGGTTGCTCTGTTCCCTGTCCTTACTTGGCCCTGCCTGGCCCCAGGTCCGCCACCCTCAGCGACCAGGACCCGGCGGCGGAGGGCAGCGAAGCGAAGGCCGCCGACATGGACTCGGCTGATCGCCAAGTGCCCGTGAAGGGGGCGGAGGAGGCGTCCGAGGGGAAGGGGGCGGCGGAGCCTGGGGGGAAGAGGGCGCAGAGGATGCACGAGGATCCGCGGTTCCGTGACATCAATATGTGTTTGGTTTTCATAATCGGGGGAAGAAAAAAGAAAAAGAGGAGAGAGAGAGAGAAAGGGAAAGGGTTGCAAACTGGTACGGGGCAGAGGCGAACAGTGGATCAGCGGGCAGCACATTCACTCGTACGCGAGAGGGCAGGGCGGGTCTTCAGGAAGTCGAGGAGGAGAAGAATTATACGGGACAAGTTGCAAGAGTGCATTGCAAGTGAACATTACCTCGCTGCTTTTAGAGGCAACCCCAGAACAGCAAAGTCACTTGCCAAGCCTAAGCTTTGATCCATGTGGTGCAAGCATATGCTCACAAACACGTGCACACGTCAACCCACGTGTGTCGGTTGCACACATATGATGTGTGGGACAGGGGGGTATATCTTCACCCGTGGCAGTTACCCTGCGAAATCCTGCCTTCCCCGGTATTTCGGGGCACCCTCATCCAGTCACCCTAGCCAACTTCTCAGTGGATCACTCAGGTTCAGCACCCACCACCGGCATCCAACGCCGGATCAACGGCGGCTCAACTCCATTCCTGGTCAGCTCGCAGGTCTACTTTATCCAGGTCACCACTGTCCGTCGACTAGGGGCACTTTTACGTTCCACCGTCGGAAGGATTTTCGACCCTGACAGGTCTCGATCCCGGAACCTCCGGGGGCATTGGTGTGTGCTGTACATAAATACATACAGGGACACATACACAATCATATATATATACATGCACACACTCGTACCGTCATCTGTGAAGCCGGTTCCCACCAGGTTGGCACCCGAAGACCCCGACCGTACGTCCTTGAGTACGGCACTGACCAGAGGAGGGGAAGCTGAAGAGCCGACGAGCGGCGAACCCACCAAGGAAATCTGCATGTACGGCACACGAATTTTCGGTTATACTGCATATGCGGCGGCATTTGTGGATACGGACCTACGGTGGGGCCACACACGGGAAGGGAAGAGAGGAAGGAGTAGTAGGACGCTATTATGTTCTCGGGGTGACCATCTTGTGTCTTTCTGGATCACTGCGTTGGGTTGGATCACCATCTTCCAATTTTTCAGTTTGTTGCCTAAAAAAGCCATATATGTGTGGGAAACGCTGTGCGCTCAAACAATAAATAATATTCGCATAATGGCACACATTTTTTTTATTGAACCTAAAAAAATGCACCACCTTTGTAAATATGCACTTATCACGAAGACACACGAACATTAGGACCACACCTTGAGTGCGCCGATTCGGCTATGGTCCAAGTGAACGCCTGTGACAGATACCGAGCCGAGCGGAAAGGTGTCGGGAACCACCGCGAATGACGCCACCTGCGGCCCCGCGGATGTTGGTACCACCGTTGAGTTTATCGACGTGTACGACTGACAGCTTGAAATGGCCGGCGCTGTCAGCGCTCCCGCCGCCGCGGCGGCTTCGGCGGCTGCTCCGTTCTGCTGCTGCTGGTAATTTGCCTGCTGTACCGCCGCCGCCGCCGCCGGGCCCCCTGCCTCACTCGTCTTGCTCCCGTTCACGGCGTTAGCGGGGCACAGCACCAGGGTCCACTTGGTCAGCTGGATGGTACGGCTGGGTGGTACGGCAGCCGAGGGGAGGAGAAAGGGGGGGATGTGAGGGAATGAGGAGCAGGAGAAAAGCAAGTCGAGCAAGGACAGAGCGGCATGAGATTGGTATAATAGACATAATGCCACGAGTTCGAACTCTAGGTCGGGCGGAGGGGATTGCATCGAGCGGTGTTCCTGCGGATCGGCCTGTTTGCCCTAGGGTAGGGTAGAGCCGGACAAGAACTTGCACGGGTGGACAGAAAACATGAACGAACAAGAATAGAAACTTGCTATTGCAAGGGTCCATCTCCGTAGCCGCAAGGGTCCACCTCTAAATGGTAAAGGATGCCTTAATTTTTTTTCCCTGTCCTTACTTGGCCCTGCCCTGCCCCAGGTCCGCCACCCTCAGCGACCAGGACCCGGCGGCGGAGGGCAGCGAAGCGAAGGCCGCCGACATGGACTCGGCTGATCGCCAAGTGCCCGTGAAGGGGGCGGAGGAGGCGTCCGAGGGGAAGGGGGCGGCGGAGCCTGGGGGGAAGAGGGTTGCGAGCAGGGGCAGAATCCAAATCATGTGGGTGGGTGGGGGGACAGGTTGTGCATGTGTGCGTGCATGTGGGACGGGGTGTGCGTGTGAAGGGGTGGAGTGTGAGGAAACGGGGCTGAAGAGATAGAGAGGGGGTAGGAGGGGATAGGAGGGATGGATTTTTAACTTGTCCATCCCATGTGTCCTAACATAAACACGAGGACATGTACGTGTGTATGTATGTCCTTACACGTGTATACTCACAGAAAAATGTACACGTTCCGTTCAGGCACAATGCAATACACGATGCACACACACACGCACCAAAACACCCTCAGTTGCACACATATATACATACAGGGACACATACATTCATACAGAGAGACAATCATATATACATACATGCACACACTCGTACCGTCATCTGTGAAGCCGGTTCCCACCAGGTTGGCACCCGAAGACCCCGACCGTACGTCCTTGAGTACGGCACTGACCAGAGGAGGGGAAGCTGGAGAGGCAACGAGCGGCAAAGCCACCAAGGAAATCTGCATGTACGGCACGTAAATACGTTTTGAGGTACGGAAAGGGAATGACGTACATGCTGTACAAACTGAGGTACCATTCAGCGCGATTGTCTTGAGCATCGGGTCGTGTGGTGCCCCGCGGTGAGCCGCCCTGTCCTGTCCATCACCTGACGGCGATTGCTGATTGCTCACACAGCACATGCTGCACGTGTGTGTCACGGCGTCCGCAATTTGTTTTCTATCAATGAACACGCATAATCCAGTGCAATACCAGATTCATAAACACAATATAAGTTCAACACGCAGTTCAACACGGAAAACCACGAAATTAGCCACGAATTCGGAAGAGTCGCCTTTTCCACCACACACACCTTCAGCGCCCCCACTCGACTATGCTCCAGGGAGATGTCCGCTACGGCAACCGAGCCGACCGGGAAGGTATCCGGAACGACAAGGGTGGACACCACCGGCGCCGTCGCTGACGACGGCACTACCGTTGAATCAAGCTTGCAGTACGACAGGCAGCTCGCGGGCGCCGGTGCCGTCGGGATACCCGCCGCGGCGGCAGCGGGAGCGGCGGCTGTGGCGAAGTTAACGGCCGTGGGGACGGCGCCGACAGCTGAGGGATTGGCTGCCGCCGCTGCTGCCGCGTCTGGGGCCACAACCCCCGCCTGGCTGGATGCGGTCTCGACTTGGTGCGGCATTTGTTGCGTCCGTACGGCGCCCACCATGGCCATCATCAGTATCGTACATAGGATGGTCCGAGCTTTCATTTATTACTAATGTCCCGGGGGGCGATGCGGAGGACGAGGAGGTGGAGGTGGAGGTGGAGGTCCCCGAAGCGGTGGATGGGGGAGGGAACGCAGAGGAGGCCTTCCGCCGTGCACAGTCGGCTATACTGAAGGCCGTCGGAAGGCCTTGTGCCAGGTTAGGTGGAGGCGATAAGCGGGGGCTGCCCCCGCGCGACCACAGCCACTGAGGGGATTGCGAACTTGAAACCCCTTAACCTGTGTGTCCGAAAGCTGATTCCCTTGGGGTGAAAGTTACGTTTCACGGCTAATTGTACCGCGTTACGTGGCGGCTAGCGAGATGGCTGCTCATGGATGGACTGGATTGGTGGCGTGTTGAAGATGAAGATGAAGAGATCGGGGCGCTGCGGGCTGCGACAGCTGTTGCTAGAAGAAGAGGGGGTATGGCACTGCTATCCCCGGGAGGTCTCTTAGGGTTCTGAGTTGGAGCTCGGGCGTCAGTCGAGAGCTGATAGTTTATAGTAGCTGCTTAAACAGTGAAACGCAGGAGGAGGGGGGATTTGAGCGGTAAGGATGGTAAGGATGGATAGCTTGTAATGTGGTGTAGTGTGTCTGTCTGTTTCAGTGTTATGCGCCTGGATCTGTGTTTTTGGAGAAGGGATCGCGGCAAAGCTACAGACCGCCCCGCTCCGGTTAGATCACGGGGGTGGTTGGAATCGCTAGGTGTGTGCTCCTTGCGCTGAAAGCCGAGATCGAGAAAGAGGGTTTGGTTTTGCTAAGCGGGTTAGGCGGGGATTAGTACTCGCAAAGCTGCGGCAGTAGGCTGAGGGGCGAGCGCGAGAGATAGGTAAATGAAAGGCGCCCTTCGGCTATCGCGCGACCCTTGGTTCGTGATTTGCTTTGTTTTCACGATTTGAACACCGCATGTCGCCAGTCTGCGCATTCCGTGCGATTTGACAGATGTCCAGGAAATATGTTACGTCTAAGGTTAGGCCGTAGGACTAAGGTTTTGGCCAACCTGGTGCAAGCCTTTGTAACGGACGAACCCGTTGCGACAACAGACACACGTATTGGTATACCAGTTGTATTGGTACAGCGCGAAAGGCTTTATGTCAGGGTGTGAGGGTGAAAGGGTGTGAGGGTGAAAGAAACGTGTTAGGGTCTAAGGCCAGGCTCTTAGCAGCTGGGCTGCTTGAAACAAACATAAAAAGTTGCGGGTACACGTCGGCAGCATGGGATGTCCCCTAAAAACATCCTGAAGCAATTTATCTGTCGTGTATAGTGGCGCTGCGATCCCAAGATCAGGAAAAGTTCGACGAAATCACAAAGCAGGTGGTCTCGGAACTGCAATCCTGTCTCCATGGCACTATTCGTTGCCGCGATACCTGAAATCCAATATTTAACGTGAGCTACAAAAGCTTATATGGAACTGGTGCTGCACGAAACGGTGTACTTGGCGGTCGCATTAGATGGCAACGATGAGACAGCTACGGGGCACCCTGGCCCAGCAGGCGGTGAGTCCATGTTACAAAGATTTTACATAAAACAACCATAGAACTAAGAGCTGGAATTTGGTCCTTTACGTACCATCGTCAGGAGCAGCCATGCAGTGTCCCACGAACTGAAGGTGCAGCGACGCCTGATACCCCGCCCGGCTCCGTTATCAGGTTCACTATCCAACAAGCTTTGTGACACCGGCCCGCTGCTGCAAGTCCTGCCGGCGTTCGCCCCTCGCCTGCTCAGCAACGGCAGAGGCCTTGCGCTCATCGGATGTCACGACCAGCAGCGTCACCCCAAGCCTCAAGCTCTTTTACCGCACAGGCTGGGACCGCGCTGTGGTCCACGGGTCCTTGTGCGGCTCCCCTTGGCGCGATTTCCCACTCAGCAAGGTGCGACCCGACCCAGCGACTCACCTGCTGCCCGTCATCTTCCTCCTACTCTCCCCCAACCCCCTTCTTAGGGTCCTGCCTCCTTCCCTTTCCCAATATGAACCAAAGCCCTTTTACCCAACCCCCTGGGGGAGTCAACGTCCTCCACAGCCTCTAAACCCCCTCTGGTCAACCAACGGAATGGCCATCACCAGGAAGCCACTTCCACCGCCCATTACGGAAACTCAATACGGCTTTCCTCTTTATCATTTTCATGACTTCCCGCACCCAGCCAGGCCGCCAGGTACTTACGTGCTATCGGCCGGCCTCGGCTCTTGACTGCGTGCCTCATGCCGACCTACCTTTGCTGTTTCTCGTCTCCTCAGCCCCAACTTCTCCCAACCCACATTCGGAACCATCAACGCCAGCTCCGCACACCAAGTCCCCAAGAATTCCCTAAGACTCTTCTCCTCTGACTTCATGTTTAGCACTCTTGACACTCTTTAGCACCCGAGATCCTGAGCTCATTCCTCCCACCCATACCCAACACACACTTGCACATGTACTTATCGTGGCTCAGTGCACTTGATTATACACACATGAAACATAATATATATATATATATTCTTTGTATTGTATATTGTATTATGTATTATATTATGATGCACACACTACACACACACTCGCACTGCACCCCACGCAGAGCCCAACGTCTCCCCGCGAACCCTTCCCACACCCCAAAACACACTGACACGCACATGTGCACATGGGCTCAGGCCGCTGAAGGTCCCGAGCGGTGGCTGGTGGCCGAGGTCCCCCTGGACGGCCCCCCTGGACCTCCCCCCGCGGGTAAGCCGCTGCTGGAGTTCGTGGTGGCGGATACGGCCAAGACCAACTGGGATAAGCCAGCCGCCGGTGCGTGTCTGTGTATGTATGTGTGTATATGTGTATGTATCTTGGGGGCAGGGAGAAGATTGAATTGTGTGAAAAAGGCGGGGGAACGGGAGGGAAAGAAGGGGATGTGTGTTGTGGGTTATCGTGTGGGTGTTAGGGGCAGTGGGGACATCGCTTTGGAGCCCACCAGCTCGGTGTTTTGGATGACCCATGGCTTCTTTTCGCCCCTGCAGTACCCCCCACCCCCATTGTCCTCATACCACCTATTGCCTTATTTGCTTCCATAACAGTAAGGATACGTGTGTGTTTGTCTGTTTGTCAGTCCCTCTTCACCTCCCACCCCTTTCGGTGGCTCTGTTGACATTTTTTATTCTCCATTTGGCTCCGAAACCCCTTCCACCCCCTTCCACGCCCTTCAAGTTCCTCCCTCCACCCCACCCGCCGCCGGACAGGTGGTAACTACTGCATCGACGTCCCCGGCGTGTACAGTCTGAGGGGTGGCAACCTCAGGAAAGTGGGGGGAAGACCTGTCCTTGTGGTGAGCGGGGGGAAAGGGTGCGGGGGGGAAGCCGGGAGGTGGGGGGGGACATCTGGCCGCCGCCCGTGTGGGTGATGCCCACATGAGCCTGTAGGCATGCATGTATGTAAGGTCATCTGTACGGCTGTAAGGAAGTAAGTGTTAGTTTACTCACCTATGTCTATTCCTCCTATGCGTGTGTATGTGTGTGTATGTATCCCCTGTGCAGGTTAGCGACCTGGACGGCACCATGGTGGGCGACGACTCCGCCACCGCCGCCTTCAAGAGCTGGTGGGAGGACGCCGGAGTGCTGCGGGGCGGGGTGCTGGTCTACAACACGGGGAGGTGGGTGGAGGGGGCGGGGGTTGGGGGCCTGGGGGTTGGGGTGGGGGTTAGGGGGGCTTGTTGTCATGTAAACGACAACACATTGGTATGTCACATACCACGTATGATGCGCAGATACGGCTAATGAAGCTATGTGCGTCCCTGTGTGTATATATGTATGTATGTACGTGTGTGTTTGTCGTTAGCAGCCCAGGCTTTCGGAACAGGCACACTCCAAAGCTGACCCAACGCCCAAACCCTGGTCCTGCAAGCCCGAGAACCCCTCAGGCTGACCTCTCTGTCTGTACGGGGGTCTTGTAACTCACCCTGCGTCTAGACTTTGTGTTTTTAACTTGGAATTTTGAATAATTGGAGGCGGAACTTACTATACCTATTGGTTGGCTGAATGGCTGACCGGCTGTATGGCATGCAAAAGGATGCATGGGGGATAGGATAGATGCTCGGATTGCCGTACTAACTGTTCTGTGCTGAATGTACGGAACTGCCGTACAGGTCTTTGGATTCCTTTTTGGAGTTGTTGCGCTCCAAATCATCAGTCATGGCGACACCTGATGCGCTTATCCTGGCAGTGGGTGAGGAGGGGTTGGGGCCTGTGTGTGTGTGTGTGTGTCCACGTGTGAAGCTGAATGCTGCATCTTCAGAATACTTTGGCCAGGGGTCCCGCGCAACTCCCAAAGAGTGGGGGTGACACCGAAGAGTGGGGGACATGAACGACCTGGAAATTTCCGGCCCCCCCCCTCTTCCGGAGATCCCTTCCCGCGGGTCCCGCCGCCTGCAGTGGCCGTCGGCAGGCGGTTTGCTTGCTTATGACTCTTCTCCCATACCCCCCGGCCCCCTCATCCCTTGGCATCAGCTTCACTCGCTCGTGGTTCGTCTTTTCCCCCCCTCTCCCTCCTCCTCCCACCCACCTTTCCGAACCGAAACCCGCACAGGCACGTGTGTGTACCTGCGCAACCCCGCCGGGGGTCCCCCGGACCAGCCCTCCGGTTGGAAGGAGGACCGAGATTGGTCAGCCACGTTGGACGAGCGATGGAACCTCAAGGTACGACAGTGTACGACAGTAGATGCTCTGACATGATGTGATGCCCTCCAGGGGGGCCGATCGGATACATTGAAGACAGATTCGTGCCGGATGTTTTTTGGAGGCAGGAATCTGTACATCTGTATGCATGTATGTGAGCAATTTAACGAACTGAATAAACATAGGGGGACGAATTGCTGATGGGATGTGGCCCACGAGCAACTCCTATTTTGCATGCACATCTTGTGTATAAGTCGGGTATTTAATTGGTGGGTTAATAAGCAAAAAATGGACCTAAAAGCTCCAATTGCTGTAAGGTTAAAGCACGTTGTTCTCTCTAGCATAAATTTAAGCAAGTAGTGAGGGCCTCCGGCTTTAAATCCAGTACCGGATTTGTAACGCGAGGGATGGTCCTTGAAGCTGGGGGTGAGGGTGAAATGTGTGTGTATGTCTGTATGTGTGTCTGTGCGTCTGTAAGTGTGTTTTGCTGGGCCCAGTGGGGGTTGCGCTCTACAGCAATGTATGGAGGCCCAGATCTGCAATCACATGGCAGGATTTGGAATTCTCTCAAGTCCTCACAAATCAAGTCGTCAAGGTTAAGTGCGGCATGGAAACGCGGGGCAATGCAGCGTGTCGGGGCGGCGGCGTCCAGTCCAACCCCCTAGTCGCTGGCGGCAATGCCGGGACCCCGGTGGGGTCGGTGTCGGGGGGTGGGGGGTGGGGGACTTGGAGGGTGGAGGGGTGGCGGGGTCGCAGCCGCCTCTCATTTCCCCTCCTCCCCCCCATCCGTCCGGCCCCTAACCAAACCCTGCCCACTCACCCGACCGTCTGTACGACGGCCCACTTGCAACACCACCTTAACACGTGCCTTGATTGCATCGCCCCCCCCCTCTCCTGTTGTGGATCTGTCCCCTCTCTTGCCCTGCACCTGGATCTGGAACCCTGGATCTGGATTTGGTCAGGCTGCGAGGGATGCTTGCTACCGGGCACTTGCAGAGGTGGGTGTGTTGGTCAGCTGAGTCGGTTAGTCGTTGATGTCAAGGTTGTGGGAATGGTGGTGGTGTGGGGGGAATAAGACGAACCACTGACGATTGAATCAGGCACCAGCGATAGACGGATACTCAGGCATTAGACACTGGTACTGCATCAGGAATAAGTTACTGACCAGTGATGACTTGGATCGTAGTCATGGCGGCGACGTGGCCACAGCTATGTTGCGAAACGAGTTACGTACTATAGCTGCCGAGTCCCAAGTCCAGAGAAGGAACTCCCATCCTCAATGTCGGACTGGTACTCGCTCGGTTTATCTCTTTAGCCTCTCC